GATCCATACCATGCTATAGAAATAACGGAACTACAGATTTTGTTGAAACTTTTCAGAATCTTAACTGAGTATTTGTCCTTTCCAGATCAGTGTAAATTTTCGGGTCAACCGGGCCTCCTTTCGAAAGGATTGTTACTAAAAATAGACGTTGTCTCGTGAAATTACGGAAATGCAGTAATTAAGATATTTATGCTAGATTTCTAAATGTAAAAGCAAAAGAATTTTTTAAACATATAAATTATAGAGAAAATATGTTTGTTTAACGGTTTAATTATTTTTTTAATCTGCTGATCCAACTTATATTACTTTCTAGGGCGAATTAAACATATTTAGCTAAAAATTATAAAGTTCATTGCCAGTAAAAATAAATTGCTGCTTGGTATTCTTACTACAGATTTCTTTTTAAAATTAACACGTTATTTTCCAATAGTCTCTCCCTTATATGGCATAAAAATTAAGTGGGGCAGCGGGCATCAAAAAAGAAAATTTCACATTTTTATACCAAATTTGCTGAAAAATGATTATTTGAAAAATCTTTTTAACATCTATACTTTTATGATTTTGATGCAAAAATCGCTTTAAATATTTAAAACTATCGTTAATAGAACATTATTAAGTATGGTTTAAATTATAACTTGAATATTTAATGCGGAGACGGCCAAGAATTCGTTTTCGCGATTTACAAGCATTATAGTAATCGGGTTCAATCTTCGGAATATTCTATATACTGTTAATGCGCATGTGTGACGTTATGACGGAAGTGAAAAAAGAAAACACTTTCAGTTTCAACATTGGATGATTGGTCGTATGGATGCGATTTATTTGATTAAAAAATGAGAGAAGTGGCACATTTTACTACTTTTTGTGTCTATGTAATACATTTTTCGCTATTCATAGATACAAATAAGTGGTTTGTTTGCCACATCTTTTTAACGACTGGTTTCTGATCACAGGAAAAGCTCGGGTCTGTCTAAGTAAGGTGCAACGTTGTTTATCATGTTTTTATCCATGTACAAATAGATAAAATCTATGTAAGCGGAGATGGATATGTTCAGTGTTTCCACTTTGTAATGTTTGATCGAGGTTTTCCGCACCCAACTCAAATTCGTTTAATAAATTCTAAACACCAAGCTCCATAGTTGATGACTAGAATTGCATTGAGAGCATCATTACTAAAACTATGACATTTAATTAGTAAAATATGAACACATTCTACGGTGTAATCTTATATGCCCATCTGTCTAAACTCACTCAACATGCTCAGACAAACACTTACTTTCATATATTGTGAGATGTGAGACACAAAGCTTCTTAATACATGTAATTGTATGAATATTATGGTGCTATTATTGAAAATGTGAATCAAGACTAGAAAATTATTGAAAAAGAGAAAGAAATGTAACATTTATCCTATAGATAAGTATGTGGTTACTGTTTATGTTTTTTTTTAAAATCAATAAGGTTATAAAATGAATTATCTGAAAGAGATCAAAATTAAAAGGGTTAAATAAGTCAAATAAAAAAAAATATTTTTTCAATGTACTCTGACCAACCTGTCAAGATCACCCCTACACAATAATTTTTTTCAGCACTTACAATTTTTTTTCTCGTTTTCCATAGTATAATTTCTATAAGATGCTTCTTGATTGAAATTTTCATGGTGGATCTAAGGGTGATTGTGTGTGTTCCCCTGGACATGGCAGAGTTATTAAATGTACATACTAAACCAAGCAGTACAATTCTCTGTCATCCTTGGACTTTCAGTAAGACGTGGTATTCTGGGCACTAGTGTCTTTCAAATGGCGAATAGATTTTAATCGGTTAAGAAATTAATAACATCAGGGACTTTAAATCATTGTTGACAATGATGAGACAACTTAATCCCTTAAATCTTTCTCATATAAGTAATCCTGTTTGACATTTGCCTGAATTTCAATCCCAGCCACATATATTTCAACAATGAATGAAAGCTGTGTAAATTTTAGAGGCTAATTATATAGCATCAAGAATACCACACCTTACTGAAAGTCCAAAGATAACAGTGAATTGTACTAAAAGTGACCTTGGACCCCTCCTTGGAAAAAATGATCTACCCGGTATGTAAAATTGGTATGAAAAGTCACCAGTATGATGCTTTAAAGAAGTCAACGACTCCCTGAGTGAATAGAATTTTCTATGTTGAAGTGATATTTTGATATGGATCCAGTGAGCATTTGTTCTCTGAATATTGAATAATACCTGTGCATCTGTCCGTGTGTCTTTCTGTCTGTCTGTAACACTTTCTCGAAGCCTTTGTGCTTTTGCATTGAAATTTTACACAGCAACTCTCTGTGGCCCGAGGGAGACCCTTATTAATTTTGTGGTCAAAGGGTCAAGGTAATTATGCAATAAATTCTGTATATTTAAAAATTGATTTCTTTTTGAGAAACAAAACACTGTCATAACTTTAATGAGACATAATTTATAATTTTTCATTCAAATAAAAAGTCACAATCTTGACATAAATCCATGAAATCTAAATTGAAACTGGTTATCTTTGTTTTTAATGATTAATCCATGATTAAACCATGCACGAACAACTTAATTATATTATTAAGTACATTGTAAGCACTCGGCTTAACAATTTAAACACAGTTGAATTTGTCTGATAATTTTATCCTTTTCCTTATTCCTTCTATTTCACCCACTATGATCTCATAGGCATTCCTATTTATCATCTTGTACATGTATTCCCTTCTTTGTTACTGTCATATTGTGGAATGAGATGGGTTTAAGTCCAACCACCATTATTACAGTTATACATAAAATTATGATCTAGAATAGTAAATAGTACACCATGGTACACTAGGGATCCACATCATCTTATTAGCTACTGATATCTATCGGTATACTATTCACGGTTGCTTGAAGAAAGAAATACCACCTTCCCCGCTCCCCATCCGATATAGACCTCTGGGTCTGTTTGGCGTATGTTTTTCTCATTTATTATCTTATACATATTGTACATACCGTAGATGACACATTTGTAATTTTGTCATCAATTTGGAAATTGGCTTTAGCAAAATTACTATAACAAGAGACCCAAAAAGTTCGAAAATGGTTATGTACGTACTATGTACATGTTCAAGCATATAAGCAAACCATAATGACTTTCGACAAGAGAACCATTTATTTGTTACTCTGTATTTTTTCAACTTACAGAGAATCAAACCCAGGACACCTGTCTAATGACAGGTGCACCAATACACTACCCACAGCACTACAAATGGTAACTTAAGGTTATTGTGCACTTGCTTTAAAACAGAATTTTTAAAGTTTTCAACAGATGTGTGTAATAAGGAATTTTTTTAAATGCACCAATGTCCTTTCCTACTTAAATGAAATATTCTGGTTTTTTTTATCAAGAATTATTCAATGTTACAGTGCAAGGATATACTAAATAACAAAACATTTATATTTGTGCAGTAACTGTTTTATCTATGATATGCCTATATATACATTGTAATAAAAAGTTTTCCATAATTTTTTTTTTCAAATCCTGTGTCATTCCTCATAGGACGATTTTCGAGGACGATATTTCAATTCAAACAAACGACATTTAAAAATCGTAACATTGAAGCGAAGTAGTTAGGTACCTGAATACTTGAGCCGTGGTTCGAAATTTTGGTTATGTATAGGTCTATGTACAAACATATAAGCAAACGATAATGACTTTCGACAAGAGAACCATTCATTTGTTACTCTGTATTTCTTCAACTTACAGAGACAAAAAACGACCCGATTGTCGAAGTCTTTTAGTTATCTTGTACTCGAGACAATCTGAATCTCCCATCTTTGGCATCTTTGTTGTACTTTCGGTTTGACGAATCATCTAAATTTAAACTCTCCTTCGATCATGCGTCCCGGAAATAACTGAACATCGATTTTTTTATGCATTTTATTTGGAAATTAATGCACCTTTCTGTTCACAGTAAGTGAAATCGACGTCAGGCATTTTTGATGGAATAAGCGTCGGGCGCGTTTTACGTAATAACGTCACTGACGAGAATAACGTCACATAACGTTATTTTACGTGGTATGGATCTTTACCTTAAGAGAAAACAAATTGCATAGCATTTTAGAAGAGAGGGGACATTACATGTACTTGCATACGTAATTGGGCAGTTTTCCTAGCAGAAACATATCGCATATGATAGATAACATATGCTAAATGTATGTTTCGGTAATTTACCTACCTAATAATACCTCACAGGTCCAGGCCATATGCATTTTTTTGTAATGAAAAATAACCATGTACATCAAGAGGTCAATTAAACTTGTATATTGTATTTACAATTTTCAGGAATAACGTGTACCCCATATTCAAATACACATGTTGGGATTTGGTAATGAACGGCGACGTTCATCAAATTATTTCATGGACTTTGATATTGAATACTGTTCGTTATCTCCATATCTTTCCTTCAATAACTTAGCACCCGAGATGACATTTTTTAATTCATATGTGGACGGTCTCAAAATACACACAATTATATGACAAATATGTCAATGCGCGAACACATGTACGAAGTAAACCCTACTGAGCAAGTCGATCGAAGCGAGCCGAATTTTATATCTCGGCCGCGACTGATCCAAGTCGATAAAAAATGGATAGCAACTGTTCCTTCGCCATGCACTCGGCACATTGAAATGAAAGTTGCGGGTCTTTCGGATGACACCTTAAAAACCGATGCCTCGTGTCAGCAACAGGCGTTAGCACGATAAAGATCCCTCACTACTCAATGGCCCCGAGTGTAGGTCAAAATTTGAAGCCCTTCACGGGCATACGGTGACGTCTCCATATGAGTGAAAAATTCTCGAGAGGGACGTTAAACAAGTTCTAAAGATCTTCACCATCACTTCTTAATCATCAATCTTGACCTTGAAATCAGGAAATCTGCCTTTCCTCTTCATATAAATTCTTAAAAGACAATATTTTGGTATTCTGAATTAAGGTCCTGCCTTCTGGGTATAAGCGTGGTCTTGATCTGCTACTAGAGTCTGCAAATTTAATTATATACACTTGTGGATTTTTTTCATTATTGAACCTCAAATATATGATAGATTGAAATTATACATGACGAATGATTTGAAAATTGGAATGGCATAAAAAATAATTCAAATTAACAATTTAATTTTGAACTTGAAGAAAACGTATGCAATTTGCAGCCAAAACTCTGTACCTTCTCCATCTGGTAGTTCTTCATCATAGGCCTGTTCCGGTCCGGCCCAAATTGACACTCTCTCACATCATAGCCGAGAATGAGAAATGATGTGCCATTACAGGGTATCTTAACACCCTCTTCACGTACATTATCTTCCAAATGTATCCGATGACTTTGCAGGTCTATAGCTTTCAATTAATTGATAAAATTGTACAATATAAATTGAGATTACTGTAGTGCATTTAAAATCTAAAATTCGTTGAATATAAATAATTTCTTAAATGATGTTTTCCTACTACTCATCTTATGAAAAAAATGACGAAGAATTTAAAAAGTAATGGCATGAATTTTTAATGAGTACCCCGTACTTACCATCTAGTTCATGGGTAAATCCTTTATTTCGTCTACATATTGTAAATTTCGTGATTGTTTCTATTTCAAATTTGGTCACACGTGTTTCAGCTTCCTCCGCTGTGTTGACAACTACATGATCCTGCTCGTACTCTGACAATCTTCTGCAGTTCAGGAAAACGTTCGAGTGTGTACAGATAGAGCTTCTACAGTATCATATAAAGGGCAAAAATATACTTGGCTTTAAAATGTACGTGAAACAATAACTACTGTCTACTGTGATGACATGCTTCGGGAAACGCCTGCGGGAATAAACAGATCATCGAACCGTTCCGATGTTAATTAAAAGAGGCCATCTCAAAGACAGCCTCCTTTTAAGTGATCTGAACTAGCACGCACCCAAATCTTTTAATTAAACGGAATAGTATTTGTCAAGTTGTACATAAAACTTCAGTTTATTGAAGCAACCCGAATAAGCGGAAGCGAGTATTGCCATGTCGTACATAAAATTTCAGGTTTAAAAGGTAGTAAAAAGGCTTTACTTTAAGAATTATTATATCGATGAATTTGAAAATGAATAGACTTCATCCTTTTATAATGCCACACAAATGTATAAAGGCTGAGAGTGGTAAATGCAAAGGTTCTCTGTAAATCTTTGCCCAGAATCTGTAACAAACACACACATACATACGCACGTTCGCAATGCTATATCGCCTCCGCGCGAGGGGATAATAAGCCTATTTAATTCTTTTTCATGTATATTTTGAGTGAAACAGAGTGGCAACAATCAGGGAATATTAATAATGCATCATTATTAAAATGAAGAGAAGTATTATTTTACTGCAAGCACCAAGCAATAAGACATCGATGTTAGAATAACTGAGGTAATTCAAGTTAAAAATCTAACAAGCTAAAGTTGCAAATTATTTAAGAATTGGTCTCTTGAACCAGGTTATTCTGTTATTTACAGTTAATTTGATTTAATGTAAACACACCATTGATAATCATTTACCGTATTATAAATAGTATTTACTAGGATTAGCATGAAAACAACTTATGTATGTTTATTTATCTCTTCACAAATTCCCACTTCCTTCCTGATTATTAGCTCCAATCTTTTCTAACTCGTTCTTCCTGATTTCTTAGCTCCAATCTTTTCAAACTCGTTCTTAAGTTAGGGTATTGTCATATCACCACAAATAGATGCCATAGTACTTTTCAAACTCATTCTTAAGTTCGGGTATTGTCATACCACCACAATTAGATGCCATAGTAAGTAAAAGATAGTAACTGAAACGTGTGTGCTATTGTATTCGAGAATGGATGCTGATTATCCTTCTTCACAGGTTATATCGTTTTTGTAATGGACCGCGTTTTCCTGTGGCATCCCTACCAATAATCAAAGCCAGTTTTGTAATGCCTTTTGTAACGTCAAATTCGCTCAGCAAGACTACTAGAGTTCTCACTTCTATTTCAATACATGATCTCCTTCTATGTGGCTACAATACATTTAAAATCAAGTAAGGTTTGTCAAGATAAGATAACCGACTCCGGTTCCCTATTTTAGCTGGTGCTCCCTCCCCTTCTGCATACTGCTTCCATGCAGCAAATAGTTTTCCATTGAAGTGTCCTCTTCAAATGGATACCGAAATCAACTTAGCTTGGGAGGGATCTGCTTTACGCTATTCCACCACCACCAAGTACAAAAAACGGGGCCTCTTTGGGCAACTTGACTGTTAAGTTTGTTGTGCCATCTCTCTACATCGTTGTTGTTTCGAATGGAGAGTATAAAACACTCCAGTTAAGGACAGGAAAGGCGGGGTTGTTAAACCAATAGCGCCACACGTATTCAATGAGGATATCAAGCATGTTTCTCAGAACACGTCGATCCAAGTGGTGGAACATCTCGACAGTGTGCTCTGGTGGAAATAAAGGGAGAGCGAGCACTTGACGAATGCTTTCGTGCAATCTAATTAAAATGAAGACCTTTCATTTCTTTGTAAATTTGATTTATCGCTCGTGAAAGGATCTATCTCAACGCCGTTCAGGTCACGTTCTTGTGACCTTAGGTCCAACCAATCAGCTATCGGCTGTGAAATCTTCGGAACAGTGAATTATAACTGAATCGGTCCAAGGTATTCTGAGTAACAAACCAAGATGGCGATGTCCATGACGCCGCGGAAAGTCTACAGTTCTTTTATTATATACTGCCTATGCGGGTTTTCATTTACTGTTAAAAAGGTAGACAAGAATGGAGTTGTTACATTTAAGAAGTTGTCATTTATACTCTACTTTGAGGCCAGCCACCCTCTTTAAACGATTGACTTGGTCCTCTATCAAAGCCACAAGAGGACAACAAACAACCACCTTGGTCGTCTCTGCATGCTCTGCAAGACTCTCTCTCAAAACAGGAATATACATCTGGTAGGGTGGAGACGTCCCATACCATGAAGGCAGAACAGCTACCGTATGCTTCTTACTTAGAGTAGAATCTAGTATCTCTTTATGTTGGTCATTCAACTCCTTAACATTAAACAACTGAATCACGTTTTCGTACGACGCAATTTTGAATGTTATACCGACTGGATCAAGAAACAGACCATTTCATTGGTTGAATTTTAATTAGGAAAGTTTATGACACGAGGTCACCAGAACGTGACCTGAATGGGGTTGCGTAAGATTCTTTCACGAGCGACAAACCAATTTACAAAGAGCGAGATGAAAGGTCTAATTTTAATTAGATTGGATCTCGTGAAGCTCTCTTCTAGTGCTGTACGCCCTCTATGAAGAAATAATATTCAATTTTCATTACATGTTTCGTGCTTTATTCTGTCATGAACATGTGCAAACATTAAAATTTTGATAAGCCTTATAGTTGTAATAAATGAACATGTGTGTAAAATGTTCAAATCTACTGTACACTATGAAATAATTAAGAAATGTCTTTTCATAAAATAATTTTTAAATACAATGTATAACCCTAACCTTAACCCTGTACCTGCAAACCCAGGTCCTTAGTATACCTATACACGGTCTGGGTCCAGTGAAATACGCAGCCTTGAGTGATATATCCAAAAAAAAACATTTCCTGTACCTGTACTGCCCTTCAAATGGCTGCCTCAAAGTTCACACAAAAACCATGGAGACATGTCTGGAAGGAGATGGTCAATTGTCCGGAGAACATGAAAAATTGCAGAACGTTTAATGATGTGCAGCATATAAATTTATATTTCACGGTAGTTTCAGAGAAATGTTATTCTTTTTCTCCTCTCATTTTAAAAATTTTTTATGTAGTTTTTTTCATTACTTTAATAGCAACAAACCGTTAATAATTATTCTTTTGATAAACTTATCCCATAATACTAGTAATCAGCCTTTCTTCTGCTGGTACACGAAGCTAAATGCCAGAACGATTTCCTTCATGTTAGCACCAATACGGAGAAAGTGGATAGTGAAGAGATCCATCCTGGGTTTCTTAACCACTCGGAATGTGGCGTCCAAACACCATGTTTTGGCCTTAGCCAGGAGCTGAAGCTGGTAGTCAGGATTATATACATCAGAAGATGTCTGCGACCAGAAACCTAGACGTCAACATGTGTAAAGTGTGGCATCTGGTGCTCCATGAAGCCTGTGTCAGGCTAAAGATGTAGACGAAAATGAGTGATATGACGAAGGAGTCGGTCGTATGAAACAAATATGGGTTATCTGTAAAAATAACATTTTCCCCATCATATTTTACTTTCATTATAAATATAATAATCTTAACAATATTCTTTTCAAGTCTCATTGTGTAAAATTTTTCATGCAATCTAATTACAATTGATTCTAGATTGTGCTCTAACTTTTGTTCCATATTGTCTCTTTATCATCTCTGTATAAAACTGTTGGTTCGAATGGAAAGTATAAAACACTCCAGTTACGGACAGGAAAGGCGGGGTTGTTAAACCAATAGCACCACACGTATTCCATGAGGGAAACAAGTGTGTCTATCTGAACATCTGGAATATGAAGATCTGCTAAAGGATCAAACGTAAAAATTAAAGCTATTGCTCTTGATGCTGATAAGTTACCTCATTATTTGCACCTTGCACTGCCTGCAATTTTGAGTATGGATTCTTGAACAGAAGAGCACCGAGTTGAGTTTATCCTTAAACCCAAATTTTAGCCTTAAATTTCTTGTCGACACTTTGTCTCAAGGGACGACCTTAATGTAAAGGACCAGTCGTATTTAAATCATTACCTTGGGCACTGTTTGTCAACAGTTGACTCGGTAACGCTGCTGCACTGCTTGTACTCTGTTGACAAGGCTCTTCCTGATGGACTGTTGCTACCACACTGTTAATTGAAGGCGGTTGACTTCCAAGCGCTGTTAAATCCTTGGCTCACTCTGCTGGTGGCGGAGACATATCTCCTTTAAAATTCTGTAGGGTTAGGGCGGGGATCTATTAATTATGTAATGAAAATACATTTTCCTCTATTCCTGGGTATTTATCCAGTGAATTATGTAAATAGTTATGTTGAACAATGCTGCCCCTTCAACAAAAGAATGAATTTCATGGCGCCAGGGGTTCAGGTGTTAAGACGGGGCCCTCCTAATTAAATAGTGAAAATGCATGAATTTTTTGAAATTTTTTTCCTTTGCTCCTGGGTAGTATGACAATGATCTAGGCACATATTAATGATCATGAAAGATGTCTCTTCAAAAGTGGTTTATTTTTGGGCCACTGGGTCAGGTGTACTTGGGGTGGGTGGGGGTGGGTGGTTAAATAGTCTTAAAATATATTAATGTTTTGAAATCTGCTCTTTTGTATTAATCAACCATTTATGATGAAAAAAAGTAATGATAAAATATTCAGAATTTTGAAATATGTGCAAGTGTTTCCTGTGGAATGGGGTGCACAACTGATTATAAAGTGGAATTGCATTTTCTCTTTGTTACTCTGACCTACCTCTGGGAATTAAGTAACCAAAGTAAGCAAGCTAAGTGTATTTTTATGATAAGCAGCGGTGCGTCTTTCAAAATTAATTGTATATTTGATGACCTTTCGTTTAAAACATGAAGCCTTTCAATTGTTAGAATGTTGTCCCATGATATATGTCGATACGATATATCCCGATAAGCTTGAGATAAAAGATACCACAGAGTCCGACACTTCTGCTTCATATTTGGATATTTTACTTAACAAACACACTAATGGTAATCTAACAACCAAGCTATATGATAAACGTGATGACTTTAACTTTTCTATCGTCAACTTCCCTTACTTATGCAGCACTATACCTTCATCACCTGCATACGGAGTATATATATCTCAGTTGATTCGATGCGCAAGAGCATGCTCTACGTA